AACTCCTGACCTCAGGTGATCCACCTGCCTCAGCCTTCCAAAGTGCTGGGATTACAGGCATGAGACACTGCGTCCAGCCTCAAGAGTTTTTTACAGGGATAATCCTTGAAATAAAATTGTTAGGAAAGAAAATTCAATTTTAGTAAATATAGCTATATTTACAAGAAAAACTCTTGACATATACATAATAAGACATGTAAGATTAGCAGCATTATATGTCACAGAAAAAGTGGAGAATATCCATCAATGGTAGAATATCAAATAAATAGTGATATATTCAAACAACGGAATATTATTTAGCAATGAAAATGAAAGAAGTACAGCTACACACAGTAACATGGATAAATACTTTGGACATGACAAGAAGCAAAAACTATAAATTTCAGGAGAATGAATAAATATGAAACCATTTATATAAAATTGAAAATGTGAAAATTTAAAAATATATTTTATAAGTATACAAACATATGTGGAAGCTATAGAGAATTTCAAGACAATGACACATCTTGAATTTAGGACCATGGTTATCTCTAGAAGGGAGAAAGGAGATGAAATCAGGGAGGGGCACGTGGAGGGTTTTAACTGGGTTTGTCAACTTTTGTTTCTTAAGCTGAGAAGTGGATGAAGTATTTCTCTTTTACTGTTTACATCTTTTTTTTAAAACAACTCTATGGGAAAAAAAAATCTAATTTGTTCAAAAAATGGGCAAAATATTTAAATAGATATTTCTTAAAAGAAGACAAACAAATGGCAAACAGGCATATGAAAATGTGCTCAACAGGCTGGGCACAGTGGCTCATGCCTGAAATCGAAGCACTTTGGAAGGCTGAGGCAAGTGGATCACTTGAGGTCAGGAGTTTGAGACTAGTCTGGCAAACAGGGTGAAACCCCATCTCTACTAAAAATACAAAATTAGCCAGGTGTGGTGGTGCATGCCTGCAGTCCCAGCTACTCAGGAAGCTGAGGCAGGGGAATCACTTGAGGCGGGGAGGCAGAGGTTGCAATGAGCTGAGATCCTGCCACTGCACTCCAGCCTGGGCAACAGAACGAGACTCTGGCTCAAAAAAAAAAAAAAAAAAAAAGCAAAGAAAAAAGTGCTCAACATCATTGATCATCAGATAAAAGAAAATCAAAACTAAAACTTTAATGAAATATCATCTCACCCAGTTAAAATGGCTTATTTATTTATTTATTTATTTATTTTTTGAGATGGAGTCTCGCTTTGTCGCCCAGGCTGGACTGCAGTGGCGTGATCTTGGCTCCCTGCAAGCTCCACTCCCAGGTTCACGATTCTCCTGCCTCAGCCTCCCGAGTAGCTGGGACTACAGGCACCCGCCACCAAGCCTGGCTCATTTTTTACATTTTTAGTAGAGACAGGGTTTCACCCTGTTAGCCAGGATGGTCTCGTGACCTAATCCCATGATCCGCCCGCCTCGGCCTTCCAAAGTGCTGGGATTATAAAATGGCTTATATTCAAAAGAGAAGAAATTACATTTTATAAATTTTTAAAGTACCCCCAGAGACCGACACCCTCTCTCCAAGTGGGCAAAGTGAAAGGCTGCTTGTCAGTTTTGGAATGCATCTCTTCCTTTTGACCATGGCTGTGACTGAGCTCCCAAGAACTTCCATTTCAAATAGAAGAAAGAAGACAATTCCCAAGCCCATTCTGGAAGAATGAGAAACTCTCCCAAAGTTTTACCCTGAACTCCTATTTCAACAATACTCAGGAACCCACTAGTGTGGATTCCATGCTCTGCCCTCAGCGTGGGAGCTGGTGTGAAAAGAAGAACTAACTTTTAAAGGCAGAGATGGATTTGGGTTTGAATTCCAGCCTTGCCACTTTCTAGCTTCAGCTTCTTCATCTATAATATGGAACTAATAAGACAAACCTACTTCACTGGGTTTTTATGAGGATGGAGTTAGTTATTTCCTATAATATGCCTGGTATACAGAAACACCCATAAACGATGTTGTCATGATTCATACAAGTCAGCAGTCTAGTAGTCTATTCTTATTCTCTTTCTTGCTTTTTTTCTCTAAGATGTCTGCCATTTTCAAATTTGCCCTGTAACTAAATATTTTCTTTCAAATTCCCTTTCCTGAGGTTTATGGTGACATGCATCCTAATTCATTGTTAGATAGTCAATTTTCTAGTTATTTTTAAACATAGAAAAAAAAAGAAAAAATATTAGAATGTTCTACTTACTCACGGTTCTTACTCTCTTAAAAGCACTGGTGGAGGTCATTAAGACCATTACCTCAGAGTGCTCAGACATTACTAAAACAAATTACTCTGGGTCAGTATAAGGAGAGCCTTAACACTCATTCCAGTAGAGGAGGTTAGGAGGCCCCCTGAGAAGAAATGAAAGAATGGACCTCTTGTTGGCTCACACATGACAATATTTAGAAATGGTTTGTTTTTCTAATATGACCAGATGGCTCCCAGCCACATATAAAAACACTCCAAACTACACTGATTTGCTTGACAAGTGTCCTACAGCATGCAGTTAACCTAGACTGAAGGGTATGTGTCTACCTGGGGGTAAACCTTATTCAAAGTTTGTATTGTCTGCTGATGAGAGCTCTTCCTTGAGAGTATTAAAATACCAGTGTTAGAAGGAAAAGCACTTAGTTGAGCCAGAAGTTGTATTTTCACTCCACTCCTTCCTGGTGAGGGGGCGTGAGTAAACTGTTTTAGTTTCTAGGTCTCCATTTCTTCATTTGTGAAGCAGAGATTATAACACTGTAACTCACAGAGTTCTGATAAGATTTAAGGGAATATTATGAAAGACTCTGGAATGGAGCCAGATGCCTAGTAAGCACTCAACAGATATTAGGTAAAGTATCAGCTGCCAGTAGGTCAACTTGGACATGTGCCTTCAAATTTTATATCCAGATTTCAAGATGGAACATCATGGAATAGAAAAAAGTTTTAGACTTGCTGCCAAGGAAAAAACTAAATTGAACTTGCTACTGGCTGGGTGGCTCTGAACAAATTTCTCACCTTTTCTGAGTCTTATTTTTTTTAAATTTTTGTAGGTACATAGTAACTGTATATATTTATGGGATACGTGAGATGTTTTGATACAATCTTGCAATGTGACATGAGGTCTTATTTTCCTAATGTAGAAAATGGGGCATCATAGTATCTTCTCTGTCTACTTTCTAGGGTTGTTGAAGAGAACAAAGTTTATCTTTGTGTGTCCCCAGCCTTCACACTCTGCATGCCTTCTGTCTCTAAAAGTAATTACCGTTGTTAAGCGTGTATTTGTGTTTTCTCAAATTACTAACTTCCGAATGGAATAGATAGTCTTTTAAAATTTTGGTGGAAGAATTCTAGCTGGGCTTTGGAATTCCAGCCTTCTCTCAGGGAGCACTTTACATGTAAAGGCAAACAGCAACTCCACAACAGAACACTGGTAACAGTAATGATTAGGATAATTATTTATCTCTGGAGAAATGCCACCATCTTCTGTGACCTTATGCTTGCAAGTTCAATCAAACGAAATAATTCCATAATAGTTTAAATCCCAGAACTGCCTTTACTCAGAATCTGAGTAATAGTTTCTGAATACTCTAGAAATCAAATGGTATAGCCACTTGGCTGCATTGTTGGGTAAATCAAAAGATAAGGCCTGTAATAGCCTGAGTTCTTGAAGGGTTCAGACTCAGTGAGTTGGATGGTATTCTAGCACATGGCGTATGCATGGAAATTTACATAATGTGGCTTGGAGGAAAATAATTCTTAGATTTTAGTTTGGCTGAATGGGAAATATTCAACTTTATTGTCTTATCTCCCTTTAAAAAACAAACAAACAAAAACTCTTTAATGTTTACATTATACATGAACACAATCTCACTAAAAAAAAAATTCTATGGATAAACTTTATGTCTCCTTAATCACTACTCCCCTTCTTAAAGGTGACTACTATTACCAGTTCATTGTACATCCTTTCAGAACTCTTTTCTCTGAATTTCTTAGCACATGTATGTGCTATAGAAATACATAGTTTCGTGAGTGTGTATTTGTACATAAATAATACAAATTATTCTATGACTAGCTTTTTACTCTACAGTGTGTATTAAGAGGGAATTCCATGTCAGATTGCAGATAGCCACCTCATTCTTTTTAACTGTTGTACAGTATTCTGTAGTATGAATGTGTTACTTTTTTTTTTTAAGACAAGGTCTCCCTCTGTCACCCAGGCTGCAGTGTAGTGGCGCGACCTCGGCTCACAGCAACCTCCACCTCCTGAGTTCAAGCAATTGTCCTGCCTCAGCCTCCCAAGTAGCTGGGATTACATGTACCATGCCACCACAGCCTGGCTAAGTTTTGTATTTTTAGTAGAGATGGGGTTTCATCATGTTGGTCAGGCTGGAATGTGCTACCTTTTGTTTAATCACCTCCCTATTGAGTTACAAGTGAGTCATTTCAAATATTTTGATCTTATAGATACTGTTGCAATGAATATATTTGTTCACTCTTTCTTAGAGTGCATGTATAGATATGAAAAAAGTAATTATTGATCTTAGGGTATACACATTAAAAGCTATAACCCTGACAAATTACCTTTCCACATGCCTGTCCCAGTTTATATCCTCATCAGCAGTGCATCATGGAACCCATTTCCCTGTACTTTCACCAAGATTTGATAGCAAATATTTCGTTTTTGCTTAATGAGAAGAAAATGTTATCTTATTGTGACTTTTATTTGCATTTATTAGATTAGTAGAAATATTTATTACCTTTTCACGAGTGTATTGCTTATGTGTATTTCTCTTCAATAAACTACCTGTCAATATACACATAAGTCTTCTCTGGACTTCATTCTTTGAATCTATTTGCATTTTCCTGCATAGATGCCACATTTGCTTAATTAATCTAGCTTTTTAGTATGTTTTAATATTTTGGGGAAAGGAACTTTTTTTCCATTTGTATAGACCATTTTACTTGCAAATTACTTACACAAGAAAATATCTAATCTCACATTACACTTGTCACCAAATGATAGATACTATTCTCCATTTCTTAGAAATGATGAAATAAAACCACAAAATGTACAAAGTCAGATCTAAAACCCATACCTTTGGGTCCAGACTTTTCTTCTAAAGTTCTGCAGTTACACCCAGATGCCGCAGAAACATAGGATCTTAGAGGGGAAGTAACTTAGGTAAGAATTATCTAATCTAAACTCCTCCTTCTACAGATGAGTAAATTAAGGTGTGGGAAAGCTAAGTACTTAAAACCTAGTACTAGAACACAGAGCTTTGGTGTTTTGGTCAGTTAGGTTTCTATAATGGCAGTATTTCATAAACAAATTCTAGTGGGTTTTTTTCCCTATCACTGTCCTGAAAGAAGAAAAAATCTAGAACCATTGTCAGACCTTCAGTTTTTTTCCGTTTTTAAATTACGAAATAAAGGGAAATAAATGGTTAAAGTTGAGACTGGGCACATACAAGTTCAAACTCAGGAGACTTTTATATGTTTATACCAACTCTGGGGGAGAGACAGGGAGAATAAAAGCATTCTCAGTTGTAATAATGAATATATTCTGTTCATCTACTGCCCACCTCCTGGATATCTCAAACATTTCATGGACGGTGCTGCCTCTGTATGCCAGGATGGGCAAATGTGTCCAGAACAAGCAGTTGTAACTATTGTGAGGCCCCATCTGGAACAGAAGGTGATTCAAGCTCTTCCTTTCATTGGAATCTTTTGTACCTTGGTTTTCAACATTCTGAGCTAGGACACATGTGAATACTGAATTTCAACAGCGATCTCATTTCACCTGACAGTACTTTTCTTTGCCTGGGCAAAGGAAAAGAACAGTTTAACCTGCATCACAAACTTCAAAAGAGTTGTAACTACTCCTGGAAAGAGAGAGATAGGAGGCTGCTCATGCTTCAACATCCTCTGGATTTTGAGCCAGAATTTTAAAAAAAGAGGCAAACAACACTTTGTTAGAACTTGTTCTAACAAACAAGTTCTAACAAAGTCTGGGCCCACAGTCTCAGATCCTCTGATTACACAGCAGGAAGGAAAGAGTCCCCTATGGGGTCATGAACCACATCGCCTGATTGAATAATTGGTGCTTATTTCTGGTCCTCAACTTGGCCATCTAACAGCTTGCATGTGCTTTACTTACAGTCCTCAGGCAAAGTCTTTAAGCTTTTGGGTTGCATTTTTCATTTCTCTTGGTTATAAATAATAAGTCAGGACACATGTCTTGAATAGCCTAAGATCTAAAACATATGTTTGTGCAATGAGACCACAGAGGTAGAACTATAGAACTTGAAGCCAATTTTATTTTTAGAAGAGACTTTAGTTGTCTGTTCAACATATTTATTTTAAAAGTAATTTTTGTTCATCCAATATGCCATGCTATTAAGAAACATACCAGATAAGAAGGCCAGGCCGGGCGCGGTGGCTCAAGCCTGTAATCCCAGCACTTTGGGAGGCCGAGACAGGTGGATCACGAGGTCAGGAGATGGAGACCATCCTGGCTAACACGGTGAAACCCCGTCTCTACTAAAAAATACAAAAAAACTAGCCGGGCGCGGTGGCGGGCGCCTGTAGTCCCAGCTACTCGGGAGGCTGAGGCAGCAGAATGGCGGGAACCCAGGAGGCGGAGCTTGCAGTGAGCTGAGATCGTGCCACTGCACTCCAGCCTGGGGGACAGAGCGAGACTCCGTCTCAAAAAAAAAAAGAAGGCCAACTTCCTGCCCTCCAGGAGTACATAATCTCATTCCTCAGTGCCCCTTCTTCATGCTCAAAGAGTACCAGCTTGAAGAACTGGAGGTCCCAAAACAGGTAATAGGAGTAAGGTGAAGTTGAAGGGGAGCACACTTTCCCTTTAGTCAGTCTCAAGCCAGTGAAAAATCCCTACCAATTTTCTTCAGACCCTTCAGCAGGAATGTAGAATAGCTGTATGGACCTCTCTACTATACATGATAGCTTTGGTCTAATTTATAAAAATGTTCCTTTGTTCCCTCGGAGACTGCAGTTCTCCTAGCTGCACACACACTTTCCTGACTCTGCAGCAGAAACTTAGTTACAAGACCCATTTCTTAGGTCACTCTGTCTTCCTCTTTGGGTGAAGAAGTTTCCTTCTCGGATATTCCTCCAGTGAACTTTATGTCTTTCTTCACTAATTTTGCAGACACTTTCCTGATCCTTCTGGAGATTTCTGGTCCTAGAACAATTCCACTACTACTACTAATTATTCTTCTTCTTCTCCTTCTCCTTCTCCTTCTCTTTCTCCTTCTCCTTCTTCTCCTTCTCCTTCTCCTTCTTCTTTCTTCTTTCTTCTTCTTCCTTCTCTTTCTTCCTCTTTCTTCCTCTTGTTGTTTCTTCCCCTTTTCCACTTTCTAGAAAAATAAGATCTAAGAGGTAATGATGTTGTGGAACAATCCTGAGTTACGATCCTGACTCCACCACTTAATAATTGGAGCTTCAATGTTCTTGACTGTAAAATAGATGAAAACATTAATACCTACCTGCCTCGGCAGATTGATGAAATGATTAAGGTATATGAAGCAGATGCCTCTATAAGTATTGGCTCCATTCTCCTTTTTAAATCCCAAATTACTCTTTTAGGCTATATACCATGCAATTCCAGTATGTAGTCATCTTTCCTACTTTCCCTGAATTTCTCCCTGGACCAATTTTCTCTGTCCTGTGAGCATAACCTTCAGTTGGCCAAGCCAGCTTTGTCTCCAGTGACGTTCAGCTTCCCCCACCACTACTCCCACCACTAGGTGGTTGTAAACTGTAGATCATAGGACCATCTTCTAAGACATCCCCATCATATACGTCCTACAGGTCTTGTGATATGTCGATTAGTTGTCTCTTTATTGAGATGGGTGAAAAGGGAACCCTGATTTGCAGTGTGGTGTAAGTATTCTTACTATGTCCTACTTCCAGCTATCAGTGGTTTAGTGATCAGCTTACAAATATCCTGAATATTTAATAATAAATCTTTCAACCTATCAAGAGCTGACTCCAGCATACAACTGACACAGGTTCCAGCTAAATGTTCCTTTTGGTTCAAAGGGATCTCCTTATAACTCTGTAACTATCAGATTTCACAGGACCTTCTATTATGTCTTGCCTCCACCATTAGTTTCTAGCCCATTTGCAGTGCTGAAATGATTGACATACCATTGAACTCAGCAAATTCCCCAGCTTTTCCTGGACTAGAATGCCTGTTACCTCAGATGGTAAACCATTGTCTCTGCCCCGAAGAATTTAGTCATTGGGATGTATTGTCTTTCTTTTCTTCTTTTCATCTTAAATGTGATGTTATTTATTTAAACCCAAAGAGACACATGCTGTAGGCTATTTTGTGCCCCCCTAAAATTCATGTGTAGAAATCCTAACCTCCATTGTGACAGTATTAGGAGGTAGGGCCTTTGGGAGGTGACTAGGTTGTGAGAGCAGAGTCTCTTATGAAAGAGACTCTGTAGAGCCCCATTGCCTCTTCTCCTGGAGAGGACACAGCAAGAAGATGGCTTCTCATGAACCAGGAAGCACGCCCTCAGACACTGAACCTGCTGGATTCTTGCTCTTGGGCTTCCCAGCCCCCAGAACTGTGAGAAATAAGTTTCTGTTGTTTATAGCCACACAGTTTATGGTATTCCCTTATAGCAGTTATAGCAGCCCAAACAGACTAAGACAGACATATATACAAATAATTTTACTTAGAGCCAAGGAGAACACTGTCAGAATTCTCCCCATTTCTCAGTTGATCTTGTGAGAGCAGCAGCAGAATGGGAAGAAACTGAGTTAAACTCATGAGAGTTAAACAAGAAAAAGACTAAGACTTGTCCTAAAGCTTGCAAAACAATGATCTTTATCTTTTAAGCATCACCATCTGAAACTGCATGATGAAATACAGTTCTAGATGAAAAGAATCTAATACTTTAAAATACTTTAAAAACTTTCCAAACAGTCAAATGATGCTCAAAAAGAGCACTTCTGCTTAATTTTCTAATTTCTCATTTTATTCTGACAGTTTTTGGAAGAGGACCAGGAAGTATCTTTCAATAAAGAAATTCCAAATTGGCTTTAGTTGAAAAAAATTCTTGACTCTTTTTGTGACACATTTGAATTTCTGGGTTTTGTTTAATCATTATAATTTAATGGATTCAACAAAGCTTTTGGGATTCAAATCAAGTCAAATCAAGGATTATGATGACCTCCTTTGTGTTTATATATCCCAGAGTCACATGGGTAGTGGATCCATCTGAATCCACTACCTTTGTGAAATGAACCAGATAATCCACAAATTTATATTTTGCTTTGGCTCAAGTCTGCCAGCTTCCAGTGATCCTCTCCTCCTGGTGTTCATGCCCCAGTGTAATTCTTTTCTACACTGATTAGGAATGACTTGTGTTACCAGTAGAATACTGTACAGACATAGAAATGTCTTTTTTTTTTTTTTTTTTTTTAGATAGAGTCTCACTTTGTCACCCAGGCTGGAGTGCAGTGGCACAATCTTGGCCCTCTGCAACCTCTGCCTCCTGGGCTCCAGCGATCTTCCCACCTCAGCCTCCTGAGTAGCCAGGCCTATAGGTATGCACCATCATGGCCTGATAATTTTTTTTTTTAATTTTTATAGAGTTGAAGTCTCACTATAGTGCCCAGGCTGGTCTCAAACTCTTGGGCTCAAGCAGTCCTCCTGGCTCGGCCTCCCAAAGTGCTGGGATTATAGGCATAAGCCACTGCGCCTGGTTGAAATGTCAGTTAAAAAAGACACTGCAGCTTCTACTTTCCTCTCTCTTGGATCACTGACAGCTTCCACATTATGAGAGCCCCATGAGAGCATTCAAACAGCCCTATGGAGAGGTCTACGTTGCGAGGAACAGAAGTCTCCTGCCAACCGTAGGCATCAACTGTCAGCATGTGAATAAGCCGTCTTTGAAGTGAATCCTGAAGCCCATATCGAGTTTTCAGATGACTGCCTGACCGGCTGACATTTTGACTGCCATGTCATGAGAGCTCTCGAGCCAGAACCATACAGCTAAGCTGTCACTAAATTCCTGACCCATAGAAATGGTGTGACATAATGCTTACTTTTATTTTAAGCTGCTAAATTTTTAGTTAATTTGTTATACAGCAATAGAAAACTAACACATTTAGGTAGAAATTAAAAACCCAATATTAAGTGAG